AAACTTAAGGCATATAAGTCCTTTGACAGAAAGAAAACTCAGGAAAGCATTTGTGTATGAGCATACAGCAGTTCTGTTTTAAACCACCGTTTTATTGTTAATGTGGAAAGGTAGCCAGGTACAGGTTAATTATATGTTTAAAAATCTGGGAGAAACTGCAGTTGTGAACTTTCCTTCATTTGGCAAGAAGCGGTGAGACATTTTTTTATATTAATTGTTTTGATACAAAGGTCAGTTCAATAACCTCCTACCCTGACCATCTTTACAGACTCAGACCCCAGTTCAGCAAGCTCCGTAAACGTGAATAAATTTAAGCACAGTGAATATTCCCATTTATTTGATTTGCTTAAGTATCTTGGTGAATCAGGGCCCCCATACAGTTACCTACCTGTTGTTTCCCAATCCAGTATAACCCACTCACATTTTAAAGATTAATATAACTAGATTGTAAGTAACTTTTAAAAATTGCCAATTTTAACTTAAATAATCCTGGTTCCTTATATACAGTATTCCCTGGCACTTCCTGATGCTATAAGAAATACCTTGTATGCTGCAGATGCTAAAGAAACGGTATTCAGTTATTTAAGGCAGCTTAGAAGTAACAACTTTGGCTCACTTTTTCAAACAAATAGAACATTTCTGTTCTTCAAAAATGACAGTGCCTTTTTGAAAATAAGTTGGGAGAGGTCACTGTTTAAAGAGCCAATAAAAGACAATGGAATATAAGAAAGATCTTTAGTTCCCAGCAGCTCCATCGCTTGTGCTTTGTTAAGTTAAAGGTTGGGGTGCTGCAAAATGCAAGTTTATGAGTAGGGCCCAACCAAATTCACAGCGATGAAAAATTTGTCACAGACCATGAAATAAATCCTGTAGGGAAGTGGGAGGGGCAGGGCATTAAAGATCTTTCTTATATTCCATTGTCTGTTATTAGATCTTTAAACAGTGACCTCTCCCAACTTATTTTCAAAAAGGCACTGTCATTTTTGAAGAACAGAGATGTTCTATTTGTTTGAAAAAGTGAGCCTTAAATAACTGAATACCCTGAATACCCAGCTGCCAGTCCCTGGGCTGGGGAGAGATGGGACTTACTCTTCCCTGCACAGCTGCTCTCAGGGGGAGATCAGACCCACCTCTGGTTATCTCCCACTGCTGCATGAATCTCTGGCTGGGCAGCAGCTCCAGAGCTTCCTGCAGCCAGAGAAGGCTTCCCGAGGTAAAGGTGGGTTCAGTCTTCCCCGAGCTGCTGGGAGTGCCCCAGCCGCAGAGCTTTCTGTAGCTGGAGGAGGTACCCGGAGAAGGGTCTGATCTCCCACCAAGAGCAGCTGTGCAGGGTTAGGACAAGTCCTGTCCCTAGCCTGGATGGGACTAGCAGCTAGGAGCCCCCAGCTGGGGTGCTCCCAACAGCATGGGGAAAATCAGACCCACCTCTACCTCTGGGAACTCCCTGCAGCTCCCCAGCTCTGAAGGCAGCACAGAAGAGACTGTGGCAGTCCTGTAGCCCTCCTATAACAGCTTTGCAACGTCACCCCATCCCAAACCACTTTTTAGGTTAGGACCTTCACAGTTACAACACTATGAAATTTCAGATGTAAACATCTGAAAATGCGAAATTGACTAAATATCAAATCCTATGGCCATGAAATTGATCAGAATGGATTGTGAATTTGGTAGGGTCCTATTTATGAGACTGGGTGCACAGTGCATGTCTTTCACTCAGAATGATTATCATTTGTTGCGTTTGAAAATGTACTTTATCTTGGCCTTTCCTATATTTCCTTTCATATTCTAAATGGCAGCTGAAGGCAAGCAGAAATACTAAGTAATTGATTTAACAACCTAAGACAGTACAAGAAAGTAGAAAAGTTTGTCTCAATGCTTGACTTGACCTGAGAGAGCTTCTTTAGACTTATTTTCTAAACAGTACCTCAGCACCTTGGGCCAACAGAGTGGCCTTTAAGCCTGAATGAGCATGACTTTTTTTTTTCAGTGCAGAGCGCCAGTATTTCATCTTTTCAAACTGTTTTACAGCACTCAGAGCAGAATTATATTGACAAGGTTAGAATTCATCTCCTGGAGGAGAATACTGTGCTACTGTTAAGTGCTAATATAACATTTATGTGTTGGTACCTTAATAACAGCCCCAGCTTACCTAATGAAAGTACTGAAAGCAAACAGTACTCAGTGAGATTTTATTATGACTGAAGTGACTGCAATTTGAGACAAATTATCCCTATTTTTGGTCTCATATCAAAAACAGAGATGCTAAAGCAATTGCTATATGTTTGGTATGGAATTAGACTCCACTATCGTTAATCTAGAAGTAAGTGCATTTTTCATGTAAACAGCTCACGAGGGTCAAGCAGCAGAGACTTTTCTGTGGAAAAATGGTTGTCAATAACTTTGTGAGTGAATTTTGAAATAAAGTGCCTCTAACCTGTCATTATTCCTTCCTCTCGAAGTCGAGAGTGAGTGGATGAAAATTGAGCATGTGAATTGAAGGCAGGGTGAGTGTTATGGCCTTATCGACTTCAGGTAAAATGACTGTTTTAACTTGTTATTATTTTTCCATTCATAGGTCAGGCAATGTAGAGAATTACCGGTATAGACTGCAGTATAAGCAAATTGGTATATAAAAAAGTTATCATAAACACAAAGGAGAAGAAAGTGTAAGCCACTAATATCAAGAGTACTTAATGTCTGATCTCTTAAAAGAAATGAAAAAAAAACTGTTGACCAGAAAGAAAATCTGAAACTTGTTTAAATAAAAATTCATATGCTCAGAAGACAGGTAAAAGTAATTTATTATTCCTTCAACACAGTATTCCTTCAGGAAGATATATATAATAAAATAAGATTTACTTTCATAAACAGATTCGTTTTCATTTAACAGGTTTCATGAGTGAAATGTGTTAGGAACACATGCATACATAAAATGGTACTACTCATTTGGGCCCCAATTCAGGAGAGCAGTTAGGCACATGTGTGGAGAACTGGGAAATATCTGTATTATTTTTTATAAATCTGTTGTATGTCTTTGTGTGCTTGTTTATAACAGGCTGCTTGCTGTGGAGTTAGGTCAAAAGGGTTTGTTAAAGAAACCAAGCAAGAAAACTAGAACAAAGGCCTAGATAAGGAGCATCTCAACAAATTCTCCAACACAGCAGCTAGGTGCATAGCCCTGAAGAGGTGGCCCCTTGGCCCCACCCTGGTGACATAGATGTTTTGCCAAGGGTGAAAAGAGAGAAATCTAAGGGAACATGAAACTATTTCAGGACCCCGGACCTAGAAAAGGGAGCAAAGTTGAGTGAGTGGCCAGAGATTGCCCAGGGAATGTCATGAAAGCTGACAGGCTAGGAAGGGAATAACCAGAGAGAGCATGTTGTAAGCAGTACATCTGTTTCTCCCAGCCAGAGATAGGGGTTAGCAGGGCTGAGGAGCATTTACAAAAGCTGGCACAGAAAGATTTAGGTGTAAGAGCCATGTATATAGTAGATCTTTTGTTGTTTTTCTCCTTAGCTCTACATACTTTGTACCTTTGGGGAATGAATAAATAATGCTTTGTTTTGAAGATGCTACTTTTGAGTCACTTTAATCAACTCCCTCGTCACAGGTCCCTGGAATGGAAGGGTTTACAGGTGTCAAAAGCAGCTGGGCTTCTCATGTTAATGCAGTTGGGAAACAAGGGGACTGCTGTTGAGTGATTGGGCTGCATGGTTCAGAGTGAGGTGCAGGAAGCCAGGTTTGTCACCTAAGAAGTGCACTTCAGAGGGACTAAAAGGGGTCTGAGGCATATTCCACTCTGTAACTCTGACAATATATTTAACTTTAAGCACTTAAGCCCATGCTTAACTTTAAGATTGTTGAAGGCTAAAGTATGCTATTCTGAGTTTCTGTTTGGGTTTTAATATCTTAGAGCCTTATGTTGCTATCCTGAGGGAGCAGTGCTGTGAGAACAAAACGGATAGAAGTGCAGGGCAATACAAGCGGGGCAATCTCTGGATTACTAAGAATTCAGAACAGAATTCTCTGTAAAACCCTTAACTGTTAGATTTAAAAGGGTGCAGCTTCTCAAATTCCTCCCCTCATTCCCAGAGGAAACTTTAGTGAACATGCAGTGATCTGCAGCCCTCTGTTCCCTTCCCATAGTTGTTACCATGGTATAGTAAAATTTAGCTTGTAATTTTTGCGAGGCTTGTAGGGAAAGTAAGAAACTAAATATTATCCCACTTCTTGTTTGCCATTATTAAATACAGCTCACAGGCACAGCAGTTGGCTTGCCAAGTAATGGGCTTTGGTGTAAGAATAACCTCAGACCTGCAGGGCCAGTGCAGGCTGAACTTCGTCACTAGGGAGAGGCTCTCACCCTTTAGAAAGCTATGTTCAAGACATGCTGCTTCTCAGAGCAGCCTATGTCACTGGTAACTGAATTTGTTTCATGGAACATAAGTATTGTGCTCATCTATTTCCATGGCCTCAGCAGCACCATTAACATTTCTTACATTCAAAGAATATTGGAATGGACAAATGTCACATTACATGATCTGTCTGCTGTTCTTTGATTCCTGTCTATTGTATAAGAATGAGCATAAAGTTTGTTAACGTCACTACTACTCCTTTGAATGACAAAGACTTAATAGGAGGCTAAGGTTGGGAAGATGAGCAGGTATTAGCTGTTAAACTCATAATTGCTTAAGATGACTTTCTCAGTAAGAAAAGATTGCAGAACAAACCAAAGCATCCTTGATAACAACACTGAAGTATTCATATAAACACAATGTGAATATACCATAGTATACACACTGTATTTTTTTAATATATTTTTTAAAAAAATTTTTTAATAACGAAATATGAGTCATTCCTTTCACTTTAACATTTAACATGTTTACTATTTCTTTGTAGCTTTGCCAGTTTTATAAATTAAATTCTCATGGTGCACGTTCTCTATTTCTCGGGTATTTCCATTCCTTGCTAATGTCCAGGATATTTTGTTTAATTTTTAGGCAGAAGATCCAGAGATGTACAGTGATCTAGCTGCAGTCTGTGGAATGCTAACTGTGGTCGTGGTTCCCCACCTACCCAGAGATGCAGTCATTGAGTGGCATGTCATTGCAGTAGTGGATGATCCATCAGAAAGGAAAACTTCTGTGATGAAGATGATGTCAGAGGGCTGCCAAATTGTATGTGAAGCTGTGGAGTCCAGTTCTGCATCTAGTGCATCTATCTCAATATGCCTAAACTTGATTTCACCATCTGTTTCGTCAGTCGATTTAGATAGGACTCTTCATGATATGGTTGCTGTGTTTAGACAAGCTGTCGAGAAACTTTCAGAAGATTGCACTGCAATTCCCTTGTGTTTCAGAACTTTCTACAGGAAGGATAGTTTTGATGCTGAAACACTACAAGCAGGTAAGACTATTGTTGGGAGGAAGGGGAATATTTGTTTACCTATATCTAAAGTTTAGCTGGAAAAGCACCTGTGACGAGTAGGCATGATTAGGATATGAATGTTCCTTTTCTGATCACCAGCCATATTACCACTTAGCAAAAAAAAATTAGCCTGGCAAGAAATCTGGCAGCCCAAAGAGATGACAAAAACAAAAATGAGTCAGACTCTGGAAGAATGAATCTTCTGCCTCAAAGTCTTTGAACAGTTTACGTACCAAGCGTTTGTATTGCTGATCATGTACAGCATAGCTGGTAATTTCCAGATGCTAGAAGGCAAAAATTATTTAGAGCAGAAACAAGATTAAAATATAAAAACAATGAAAAAGTGTCAGTTTCTCAAAGGTAGAGAATAGTGGTGAGTGCATGGGTGTCTTTAAATGTGGGCTAAGTGTTTTGTCAATCAGTGGCTTTAAAATAGACCCGTCTGAAGGGATGAATGACAGTTGAGCAAACAAATTTAGTATATTGTTTGAATCTTTAATGTTTGTTGCAGAATTAGAACTCTCTAGAATTTCGATCCCCTTGCAAAGTAAAGAGAGCTCAAACCAGTAACAATATTATAATTATAATTTATCTCCTGTGTCATGATGTCTAGGGTCTGTGCTATATTCAGTTAGAGAAAACAATAAGGACGTGCAACTGCACAGAAACCTCTTTAATTTGACAGGCCTACAAAATGTTTAAAGACCTAATCCTGCTCTTATTGAAATCAACAAGAGCTTAGCCGATGACTTCAATAGAAGTACAATAGAACCTCAAAGATATGAACACCAGAGTTACAGACTGACTGGTCACTTGGACACCATGTGAAACTGGAAGTAACCAGACAGCAGCAGAGACAAAAAAAAAAGCAAATACTGTACTGTGCCTATACTTAAAGGTAGGCACATCTGGGCTGCCTGTCCCTGTCCCCATCCCCACCCCCATGCATGAGGCAGCCACTTACAGCAAGATGCTACTGCTGCAGACCAAGACAGAGAGCCAGCAGAGCAGGAGTCCTGCGCTGCTTTCACCCCTCCCTCGCCGCTCACCCCCACCTCCATCGGGAGGGAGATGGGCTGCTTTTACCCCACACACCCCTGGCCTGGAGAAGACAGGATGTTCCCCCCACCCCAGGAACACACACACACACAGCTAAGAAGGGAGGGCAGGGGGGGATAAGCTTGCAAACTCATGCTGGCAGTGAGTAGGAAGTTCTGCTCCTGCTTAGACCTGACCTGGAGCATCAACTGCTGGATCTGGAGTCCGAACTGTGCTTTGTTCAGAGTTACTGACAACCTTCATTCCCAAGGTGTCTGTAACTCTGAGGTTCTACTGTAGGATCAGGCCCTTAGTCTATATTCATCTCTTGTGCACATGCACACACACACACACAAAAAGATATTTGTAAAACCACAAATGATCCATATTAATTAGCTGACATAAAAGCTAGCCCTCAAAGATCCTACTTTTTTTTGTTTTTTACTTAACCTGCAGCAGTTTTTGAAGGAAATTCAACTTGACATTGTTTAATAGATTTAAAATGCAAGAATAGAAAGCGATAAAAAATGTGGCATGGAATAAGCGTGCTTAATCCAAGAAGCAAGAAATGAACATATAGCCTGACAGAATGTTGTTGTTCTACTATGCCTTGTTTGAGAGCTAAGAAGAAGCCTGATTAAAACATGTTCCTAGCATGTGATTTACATTATCCTTTCGCCTGCTTCCTCCCTGATGTTTCACAGGGCATATAATAATGACTTTGGAATAACATACATTTGCCTTATTTAAGTCTAGAATTGAGCAAAATGTATAAATAGGTGGGATGGAGGGAAATTTGACTGTTTGGTATTTTATGTTATACTAATGGCATGGGTATAGAATGAGTCATCATGGTTTTTATTTATTCATTCATCCTTGGTTCCTTTTAAATCTCTGTAAGGCCCTAATGACCGTTGTCATTATCATCATTCGTAAGAAATGAATTCTTGTGAAAACGTAGTAGGCATTACATTTATAGCCAGCACTAAATTACCAGTAAAGAATTTAAAAGGAAACTTCACCCGTGTTGCTTTAACACTTTTGTTCAAAAAGTTTATATGGAGAGAAGACGCACTGTACAATGTATCTGAAAATAAAGTTTCCAGTTAAAGTGACTACTGATGAGGCTACTCTTCCTGTTAGCTACCACTCTGACAGTGTACTGTAGACCCCAGATATGAGAATTTTCAAATCCGTTTCCTTTCTGCTGTAAGGAAGGATCAAAATCAGAAAAAAACATCTTTTAATACAGCATTAAGGCACAACAAGAGGCATGGTTAAGTGGGTGCATTGTGAGGAATAAGACCTCCGGTGGAGTTGCTTCAACCTCTCAAGGGATGCAGTATACTAATGGACCACTGAAATGCCCCCCGGAGTCTCTTCATGCTATTATTATATAGCTCATGAAATATAAATTAATATAAATTTTATATATTCCGACTGTCAGTTTTGAACAATATTTACAGTTTTTTTACCTGTATAATTCTGCATATAGAAAGGGTGAAACATGTAGGAAGAAAGAATATGAAACCCTTTTCTTTCTGACTGTTTTCAAACCTTTTTTATTGTTTTCCCAACCTTTTTATTAATAGACTCCAGAATATTTTTTAGATTCTATAATTCATTGACAATTTAAAGTATTAGTTTTTGAGATTGTGTTGTTAAATTAATTGTCAAATTAGTTAAAGTCGTGTTGTTGATAGACATACACTAATAAATAGGTTTTTACATAGACGTTCTTAGCTTGACTGGTTATTAGGTTCTAGGAACTTTCCACTTATACTTTATTATGGTCATACTTTGCTTTGGTGTCACTAGAGTAACAGTAATGTGCTCTACAGGAAACACTTTTATTCTGTAGTCCAAAGAGGAGTTCAACTTTTGCCTTTTATGCTGCTACATTTGGTGAAACTTAACTATAGGCTTTTTATAATTAGTAAAGCTAGCTTTTGTTGCTGACTCTGTGTTGTTGACTTTTTAATTTAAATGCTAGTCCACCACTTGAGATTAAAACACATAAGAGATTCAACTAGTGCGTTGCTAACTTACTATAGAAACACATTGCCTTTTACCTTTTTTGACTAAAAAATAGAACCTTCTTCTTTAAGTAAGTATGTGTCAGTGTGCATCCCATTGTAAGTGTGCATGAGCCTCAGTGCTCACAAGACTGGAAACTTTCGAATAGTCGTGTCTGTTGGGTTCACACATTCACCTTGTGCCTCTTCATGCCCCCATGTGAGGGTATAAAGGGCAGAGCAGCATGATGTTTCCTTGCAATTCGAAGACTGTGGCAGCGAGATGGAACCTGGTGAGTATCCAGCACATTAGTTCTTAGCTTTGGCTAAACCGTCTGATTTTCTCCAGAACTCCTTTCATTACCTTTATGTTCAACCTCAGTCATCCAATTGACCCATTTTAACTGAGTATCAATGACTACACCCCCCATGTTGATGCCCCCTCCTCCTTAATGCGGCAGACTTGAAACCTGCAGGTTTAAAGCCCTGTCCATCCTGCAATGGACTAATCCCCTTCAAAGGGGGATTAGTTTGGGGGAATCACACATACCTAGCAGATGCTCAGCATGCCTGTCATTTTCTTTTAGAATGCGTAAGTTGAGAGAGACAGGGCTGAAACTCCATCTTCTAGAACAATCTGTGAAGATCTCATCAGAGCCTGAGGAAACAATTCCAGGATCCTGTTAGTAGACAAGCCATCATCATCTAGCACCCCATTCAGTAAATACACTACATCTGAGACCAGTGCAGAAAAGATGGCGCTGAGAAAAGAACTGGCACCGTCACTGGCATCTACACCATCGGTGTCAAAACAGACATCTCTGACATCAAAGGGTGCACTGACAGATGTTACTTCAAGCATCGAGGCAGAGACTTCAGACAGAGCTCAGTAGCCTCCCATAAGGAGAGACAACACAAAGCCTTGGAGAGAAATCCACCAGCCCCACAAAGCATCAAGGGCTGTGGAGAAGGAACCACCGATGGTGCTCAAAACCCTGTTAGCACCAACCCTGGCTGTGGGACTGCCTCCCACAGCATTGAGACCAACCATGGAAGACAAGCTTAGGAGAGAATAGGAACATCACTTGTGCTAAAGTGACTGCCGGTACCGGTACAGGCTCCAGTATCGACAGAACCATTCACATTAGTGCTACCCCTAAAAGAGGTCTACTGCTCTTCACCATCAGTGGGCTATAAGTTCTCCCCATTGTCAAGCACAAAACTTCTCCTTTCAGAGAGGTTTGCCAGATTCCCCTACTGGTATAAGCCACCACCAGCATGTAAAGACAGGCACTGAACTGGGTATTAAATTATCTGATGAGTTCACTTGGCAGCAGCATTGGCATGTCACACACCAGTACCATTGTGCTTCGTCTTCTCACAGCCAACATTATCAAAATTCCCCAGAGTCTTCCTTCATACTTGCCTTCTGGTTCAGCTCCCTCATGGGAATTCAGTTTTGTCCTCCCTGGAGCCTCTCTTTGAATGACTGTCACCATGTCTATGCACCTCCTTACCATCACAAACTGTCCTTTCTAGTCACCATCACTTCAGCTCTAAGAGTCAGTGAACTCCAGGCTCTCATGGCTGGAGTGCCTTACACAGCTTTTCATATGAACAACATGGTGCCTGAGACTGCACCCCAGTTCAGCCCTAAGGAGTTTTCAGAGTTTCACCTAAATCAATCCATTACCTTGCCAGTCTTCTTCCTGAAGATGCGTTTGATGCCAGGAAGGAAGAAACTGCACACCCTGGATGTATGCAAAGCTTTACTGTGTTGCCTTAATGAGCTATTTCAGCTGTCTCCCTGACGCTTTGTGGCCATTTCTGGCCTGTCAAAGGGCCAAACCATCTTGTCCCAGAAAATGTCCAGGTGGACCATGGAGTGCATTTCCACTGTTATCAGCTGGCTGGCAAACCTCTCTC